ACCGACCGCTCATATTCATTCCATCAGTAGGATTTATTGTTGTAAAATCTCAGATAGGTTTTAACGCGGCCACGTATCGCGATTAGCACTTTCGAAACTGAATAGAACGAAATTTTACGATTGACCAATTCTCACGAAGATCGTAAATCATCGAACTGCAATCGTGTGCAAGAAAAGTCCCAGCAAAAAAATCCAATATTTTTAACCATTTACGAACCGTCGTCATAGCGATACACGCATAAAAAGTGAAATATATATTGGACATTAACTGAATAAAATTACAAGACAATGCGATAAATACGCGATTAAGAATTAATTCTCTAATTTAACTTCTAAAAACGATTTCTTGTTTACATTTTTAGATTTAAGTTCCCTAAAATATATAATACGTTGAATAATTCTGTAAATATTTCGTCAAACGTCTTAGTTTGACCTTTAGTATACGTGGTCAAGAGGAAGTCAGTGATCTTAGTAACCTTCCACAGTTGATAGGAATCAAGGCTTTCCTCGACAATGCGGTGCAGTGAAGTACAACAAATAGCTATGGATAACGTGACATATATGAGAATATGCTTTCGTGGTTGAACTGTAAAAACCAGTTTGCTGTCTCTGACGTGTTAATGATAATTTCTATTGATGCGTAATCTGATAACATTTAGTTGTATATATTATATTAGAATGAGAATCTCTTAGAACATTGTTATAATGTACAATTGTTATATAATAATTAGTAATGTTATCACACAGAAGATACCCCAATCAAATCTCTATAGTTTAATTGCTCAATTATTTTATTTGCTATATCGTACATACAATAATATACCTGAGAAGATGCGAGCCATTAGGGTCATATCGATAATATAATTTATTCAATCCTCTTGAATCTTCTCGTAAGTTAGGTGTCAAGACATGAACAAGTTTCTAAAAACGTTTATGTTATCGACCTAGAGTCATAATTAAAGAAGAATATTCTGACTAAAATAAGATTTTTAATCGTAAACGCATATATTCATAATAAATGATTTTTTTTTAAATTACGTTTTGTATAATAATAAATTTTAATAAATAGAAAACTACATGAGAGATATTTTTTATGACAGACTTATTTCGCGATTTATCATCAGGAACTAATAAAAAGTATTTCACACATCACCGGATAATAATAAAAACATGTAGTGTACGCAAATTTTTTAACAAATCTGTTACGCGAACATGAATATTTGCATGCCTTCAACCTGCAATTGCTTTTTTATTAATTTTTTTATATTTTACTGAATCTTTATTCATAATATTCAGCACTTTTTTTACATATGTAACTTCCGGATACGAGGCATGCTAACTACAAGGCTGTTAAGATCTTAACCTTACCTTTAATAAGCCATTTAATAAGCCTTTTATCTTTAATATTACGCAAAAATCCTTGTGTTACACACAAGGAAAATTGCATTCTGCAATTCGCGTTATATTCAAACTAAAGCACTTTGCTGTCGCACTTTAAACATACATGATTGTATAATCGACGATCGGGTTAATTAGGTTAATCTTTATGCGCTGTTAGAGCGAAATCCAGAACTTGTCGCACATGCCGCTATTTTTTTTTCCTCCCCATCAACGTTCTGCCGTTGTACTTGTTGCACGATCGGCGAGTAAAGCTGGTTGAAGTTGAATATAGTTTTAATTACTGTTCGCGTAACTATCGAGCATTAACTAGGTTGATTTTCTTGGTGGATATAAAGGGAATATGTCAAGGAGAAATTTAATCACAATCGATTGATCTATCTTTTCACTCCAGATCCGATCACTTTATTAACACCGATTAAATTAATATGAATAATAAAGTTTATAAAAATCTAATGAATATATTTAGGTAATGCTTTAAAATCTTACTATATAGGAAATCGTGGATAAAAAAGCATTAATCAAATTACAATAACGAGAATATAAATTGAAAGTGCGGCGAAATGGTGAAACTGTCGATGGCCCGATTCACTTGGCAATTGATAGCTGGTACGACAGATCGTTGCTCATCGATGATGCAAATGGGTTAATGACCGAATCTTCACACATGTGTCCAGACAGTTTTTTTTTATTAGATCTTTATTGGCGACTTCAATGCAATGTCGTGTTATCACGCCGGACGCGTATATATTTTCTCCTCAAGTAACATTACTTTCTATCCGTGAAAAGATATACTCCGTCTATATTCTGAGAAAGTTCTCGACTATTGAAGGTTACGACCCGAACTTTCCACTTTAAACCCTCTTCGAAGGTTACCGCGTAGTCTATCGATCACCGATGTTTGAGAACGGCTATTGATCACTATTAATTTAATTTCAAGATAAATTTTGAGCTGTTCGGATTCCTTATAAGTTAATTCAACAAGATAAAATGTCTAATTATACAGCTAGAAATCACAACATTTTGTGTACGATTTATCAAACATAGAGATTACTATCTTTCTTCCATTTAATTACATCCAGGAAATTGTACGTTTACGCGTGGATAAAACATGTTCCAATAAAATTTTAACAAAACGGAAGTGCTCCGGCGCTTTCTGATATATTATTATAAGAATTTCATTATAATAATGTTACTGCTGATGGCTCGATACTTTGACCGCTATAAATTAGGATAGGACACTAGGTAAAGGATACTAGTTGCGGTGAGGTCCCAAGTGGTCGAGAACGGTGCTTGTGAAATAAAACGCGTCCATCCGAGAATTAAAAATCCACGAGAGATCCTCGTGCACAGCCAGTATAAAGGCTCACATCGTGTTGGATTACATGCATCAATTCCCAAAGTCAATTAATCTAATGGATCCGTCCGCTCGTTTCTCTGATCCGCCTCCTACCACCGGATCCTTTCTGCCTACCCCGCTATCCGAAGTTCCCCCGCGCCTTCTCTCTCTTTCTCTCTCTCTCTCTCGCTCTGAAACTGATGCGTTCGTTGTGCAACGAACGCATCTAGTGGCATCTAGGAGCGATTGCGCGCCGCGGTGCGCTTAATTTCTATTCGCTCGACTCGACTCCAACGTTCGGTGTGTAAACACTGTATAAATGCACGCAGAATTCACGCATAAATATGCGAGCGCACCTACACAGATAATATGTCTTGCCCAATGATTGTGTAAACGCGAAGCGTTCAGTACTTACCATCGTGTAATGATTGCTGCAATTCTTGCATTCTACGTCTCGACTGTTAATGAAAAAATTAACACTTTTTTGAATTCTGAATCTTCGTTATAATAAGTTAACTCGTGTGTTTATACGCACATAGTTATGCATGCCGTCACGTAATTACATAAAGAGTTTCTGCCCTACCCTTATGAGTTTTGCAAACATCGCAAATTATTAGTATTTTAATCGTTATCATTGCACGCGTCAACATATGTTTAACCTGTGGACAAACGCAGTTCAGCGATTTCAGAAATTGCAGTTTACAATCTTTAAAAATTGGGGTTATCTTAAACGACAAGTGATGGATCGACGCGACGTTAATTAAGTATAGAATGTAATAGCGAAAGAACACATATGTTAAAATCGTGGAGATATTTTTGGGTTGCCCGTTATTTTCTAATACGTCTTCATCAGATACAACAGATACTTTTGTAAAGTGTTACAGGAACATACACTTGCGACCAGGACCGTTATGTTACGCGACATACACAAAGCGCGCAACTTGTAAAAGTACGCGCAGTTGTATTCTGAGAGATTTCTCGCGCGCTTTCTGACTCGCAGACTTTGTAGGCAAAACAATTATAATTAGGTAGTATTGGATCCATGAGAAATGGCGAGTCAGTTCCGGGTTTTCGCCAGAGTATAGTATGAAATTTTACTCGACCCACTTAATTGTACCAAATTTAATTCCAAATAACGTCCAAAAGATAATTTGAGATGTAATCTACATGCTGATATTATAAATCACAAGTGACACAGAATGATAAAAAATTGATTATTTTTTAAAAAGAATTCTTCGAAAAGTGATGTAAACCCATAATACAGTCTCTTTCGTGTATGCTATTTTTGTTTTGTCGTGCGTATGATTATTATTGCGTTTCGTTGATGACCGACGGCAAATTGATAGGTTATCGTCACGCTTAAACATATCAGAGTCCTTTCATTCTCGATACATATACACAACAATTATCATTATGACAACAGATAAAAAATGCACACAGGAAAGAGAATCAAGCGAGAGGTGAACATATACACACATATGTTTGCGCTTTCTATATATATTATATATATATATATGATTGAGGCTTGAAATATAACATGAGGTCTATTTTTGATTCTCTGTGAGAATAGGAAAAATACGTCATACGGTAATTGGAGCTCTGAAAACAAAAGACCCATAAGTGATAAACATTACATTTGTTGATGATAATAGCTAATGTTTATATTAAAACATTTGGTATGATTATTGACATTTAACTGAAATCCTTTTGTGATATTACTTGGTTTTTATTCTTGGCGCTATAACAAACACATACTTTATTTTCACGCGTATCGAGATTTAAGCATGTATCGTGTATCTGTCAGTAAAAACTTGTCTACTTCTCTTTTATCTTTTCATGTCGCTCTCACGTGGCTCTCTTCCAATAAAAGTTCATCGTTTCACAGCGAAAATAAGTGATAGAGATTGCAGCATACGTTTGCACGAATATTTGCCGTTCGTCTTTTCGCTTCTAGGAAAAGATTGCGCGATGTCGTCTCTTAATTGCGATTACGTTCATTGAAATTATTGATTTCGACCAGTATCAATTTCATGCGCAAACGATTCGTGATCTCACCGAAGCCCGATTGAGGAGTCTGCCCCGACCCGGCCGCAATATGTGTGAGTGTACACGCATGCACGCAGACATGTGGAGCAAAGCGAGAGACCGGCGGACGGGCGGGAGTCGCGGGAGGCGGGAGCAGCGCGTATCACGCTCGCTGGCAAGATCCAGCAACGAAGAGAGCTCGCGTATCCCCGCTCGACGCGCTCAGTTAGCACGAGACTCGCGATCGAGCAGCACGTTGAGCCCGATTGCCAGTGTGTATATGTGGTGTCACGACGACCGGACTTTTTCCTCTCTCGTGCTTCGATAGACGGCACGATACGTCGCGAGGAGAGAAACGCGTCGATGAACAATTCCGCGAAATTGGAGCCCTTTTCTCCAATGGTGTGTTTGCGTTGCGTATAGTGGCCATATACCGATACATCGCCATCGTCATCGAACTAGCAAAACTAGACGCGTACGCGACATCTCGCCTGAACGACGCACACGTGTGTCAATCGAGCGAAATGTCAAGGATGCGGACTTCGCTGTCCCGACTCCCGACTCCCGCTATACAGCTTTGTTTGCCTCGCGTACTTTCCTCTCTGACTATCCATATTTCCGACGATTAATTTCCGCATACCGCTCGTTCTCCGCTTCTTCTCTATTTTGTTCGGCCACATGGCGGCACGAGGATGTGACGAGAGCGGAAACTTGTAATGTATTTTTATTTCTTTTTTTTTTGTACGGAAAGTGAAAGGACGATTCGCTGCAGTCATCACGGTATGAAATCGGTGGATTTTATCTATGTGATGGTGCACTGTGAACGATTCTACGCATCCGACGACGCTTCTCGTTCTGATAATACGGTTGTTTGTTGCTCGTACGTGTATAGTATGCCGTAATCCGTGAGATATCTTGTTTTCGATAGCCGACGCGGCGAACGATGTTGATCTCTTTGGAAAACGCGCATGACGCGCGTATTCCGGGGTGACGTCGTTGGTTGTCGAGGGATAACACGTGCCTGCCGGCGTATTATTCCGTTGATATTAATACCACCGATGTAAACATTGGTCCAACAATTGGCAAGCTCCGGTCTTAAGGCCGGAGCAGCTCATCGTAGCGCTCGTCGGGAATCGTATGCTAGTATAAAAGAGATTCGATACTCCGACACTGTTCATTGACAATGAATAATGTCGTATTCGTCGAACATGACTACTCATTCAACAAGCATCCACTTCCTTGTTTAGCTAACAAAGAAAATTAAAAAAGAATAGAAATTTTATGCAGAAGTAAATTGCGTATCATAGTTGGAATCGGATTCGAGATGTTCTTACGATGAATGTGTTATATAAATATGAATACTAATGACTCGCTCGATTGCTTATCAAATACGAAAATGAGTAAGAGTCTTGAAAAATTTCTAAAACGCGTTATAAAACCTGAAATCGAGATTTCAAAGAACAATTTTACTTAAACGAATAAATAATCCGAGAAAAATGTAATGAAAGAAATAAATTAAATGTACATAAAATAAATCAATAAGAGACAAAAGAATTATATATGAAAGTATAGAGATTTCCACAATATTCTGCGACAAGAGGTAACGTAACAACTTTTCATTTCTTGTATTTCTAGAGCAATCGCTTACTCATATATAGGGGAAATACCCCTATATATATCGTTCCATCGGGCTTCTCGCGCACGTCTGCTAAAGACAATTGACTAGTCTTTTGCGATAGTATCGATCCGCTCTCACGTTCGATGCGGGTGTTCGGTGTTACAAAAAACCGAATTCCTCTCTTCTATCACGACCGGTTTGCCGATTTACATTTCTAGTTGGCACTCTGACTTTGCAGTTTTACCAATTTAAGCAGAATGTCGTAAGAGCGCAGCAACGCCGATTCCCCGAGGCGCGTGACACGCATAGATGATGCATTGTGCGGCAACGCGATGCTTTTTAATTTGCACCTCGAAGGTGCAACAGGTCCATTCGAGGAACGGATACACGGAACGTTATCGCGTAACGTTGCGCGTACTATAAGGTGGATGACTAAAGAGATCTATCGATCGATCTATCCGACGATCGGGATGCTTTTAAGCGCGCTACCGCACCGCCTAGCTTCATTAACTCGCTCAATCGCCTATCAACGCAGCCTATTTCTCTGCAAACGGCCAATGTCTTATTATAGCCGATATACTCGCGATAATTATGCTATAAAATTACATTGTTATTCCATGGTAATTTTTTTTTTACTCGCGATTGCGATTACTATCTCAAGAGATTGGAGCTATCACTTTTAGAGTTTATCGTTTAATACTTGAAAGTTGGAAAACAAACTGCACGGCGCCATATACATATATACGCATTATCGTAATGTAGGTATATTTCACGCACAACGGAGTATTGTTATAATGCTGTTTCTCTGAAATTCTTAGGGTTCACGCGATTTATGCCACTGTACTTTTCCGGTTTCTCCGCGTCTATACATCCAAGAATAGCGTTAACTGGTTTACGTTAATAACATTATTAGGAAGTCGTGGCACTGCGATTCTCCGATGACCGCATAAAACGCATCTCGTGATCACTCCCGTCTCGAACAATTCATGGCCGCATTTTTCCAGTGAAAAGTGTGTGTTGCAAGTACCGTTATCGTTCGAGATTTCTTATCCTTTAAAAATGATTAAAACATACGTGAAAAGAGTTTGGAGCAGAATTGTTTAATACACCTTTAATTGTTAAAAAAAAAGAGTATTGAATAAAGAAATGAAAAAATATTAACTATACAGTATAATTATACAATTGTAGTAAATATGGAATGTTTTTTTAAATGTAAAGTTTACCTTATTGATGCTTAAATTATATTAATCGTTATTAATTAATTTATTTAAAAAATATATATAATTATTTAAGCCTAAAAATAATGGATAAAATTACATAGATAAATGATAATTTCTTCAAGAATTTTAGATTAGGTTCGTATGGTTACGAATTTTTTATTTCATAGTAGAGATGAACATATAACACGCGAAAGCTGATGATCAATATATCCAATTATAATGGCCGTCAAATTTTATGAAAGTTTTTTTTATTTATATACATACGCGGAATCCAATCTTGATTTATCGATCTCAATGCAACTTGTATTTCGTATTGATGTTCAACGCGATCTACGCGAGTGCAAGACTCTGTTGTACGGTGGGTGGTGACGGTGTGATGTTTCGCGGTCGACTCAACACGCCCATTGCGTCAACACGCAATTCTATTAGCTGTTAGCGACGGTGAATGCGATCCATTGCAACTCTTGAAAGAACAAAATACTTCTAATATCAATAATCTAAAACAATAGCGCGTCTAATTTATTTTTTTATTTATTTCTAACTTATTTCTTGTGTTTATTATCTATTTTTCTATGTCTTATATCTCTTGCAAAATATATTATATTTATTTTACTATAAAGATTCGAAAAACGTATTATAAATTATAATTATTAACGGTATTGAGAGTTCGCAAAAATATGTATTGCAAGAAATTACCATGTGAATCACTATATGTTCATCTCAATGTACGATATTAAGAAGTTGTTCTTTTCTTATTTTTATTTTTTTCTCATTATTATTATCTACATTTGGTCACTCACTATCAAGGCTCACTCACTCGATGGATCGCAAATGCGAATTCTTCCGCGCTTTACACGGGAAAAAAACAATATCGTGGAATTCGCCTGCGCCTCGCCCTGCCAGGCCGCGTAGGTAGCGAAAGAGAGTGCATCGTACAACGGAGATATGCACTACCGAGCTCAAGGAGACCCGCTCACACGCACGCGCATACGCATATACACGTCGATGCCGTCCTTTGCGACGTCGCCTGAAACATCTACGAGGACGCGTTGTAATTTCTTCTCACTAGTGAGAAACTGCCTTCCTTCCTTGAGCGTCGTCGTGTCGAGCACATACGAACAAAAGAAATTTTTAATTCTCTATACATTCGATATATCTTCAGCTCCGTTTTTTTTTCTTTCAAATATTTACGTCACGCAGATTTCTAATTATATAAATTTTATAAAGCTAAACTTTTTTTTCACTGTATCAATTGTTATTTTTATTGTAATTATTAATATGGTATTTATTGTGCGATTATTATTTAAATGTATAAAGAGAGTTAAGAATAAAATAGATTTTGTTTTTATAGTTTTAATTAAATTTATATTCATAGAATTATATCACGTCAGTAAAATAGAATCGCGATGTTATGTTGTTAATTTATTAACAACATTTATTAACAGCGTAGTAAATCGCGGCTATGAAACGAATAGCATGTTACATTCGCCATTTCTGATTCGAATGTCTAGAGTTCTAGAGAACCCGTCCCTCGTCCGTGTTTACATGAAAATTATTGGTTTTGTCGTGTCTTTCCATCATGACGGGTGATTCATGCTGCGCGCTTAGGAATGTCGACCTCTTACGATTACGCCCGAAGGAGAAGCCCGCCGTTCGTTATTCGTGACACGACCGGATATCCGTTGTAATTCTATCCTATCCGCACTATCGACGGATGGGATGTTCTGTTATCTAAAAACGCGTTAGATTTTGTATATACATTTTAGTACTTTATATTTTATGTATATATATATTGAATTTTAGATTTTAAACGGTTTGTTACAAGACTATATATTTTTTTGTTGGACACACGTCAAACTGATAGCCTTATCGCGAAGCTTCAAGGAACTTTCCGATGTATATTCCACCTTGACCTTGCGAGCTTTTACATTACGCATCGTTTTGCGCTCGATTACGGTCGATCACAGGTGATTAATTTAATGGAATTGGATTTAAAGAGATGCGGGCTCCTCTTTTCTTTTTGAGATAATAACCATTAAAGACCCGAATAAATTAACGTTATTGAAGAGCCGTGTAGTTCTCTCTCTTTCTCCTTTGCAAAGTAGCTTTCTATACAGATCACGCGAGGTTACATAATTTTCAATTAGATGCCTTAATGTCTGATAGAAGACCGCCGCGAACGGAATCGATGATTGCCAGAACGTTTTAACGATATTGCGAACAGAGCGAATCCATGAATATTAGTCTTCGCGATTTTCTCTTGCAATTTCTCGAGCGAACACGTCAGCAAATTTAGTTCACTGCGGCACAACTTAGTGTAACAACGATATTGCCGCGATAGACCATTAAATCATTTCGATGCCCGTAATATTTTTACGTTTTGTACAGTACAGTTCAGTACGTAGTATCATTTTGTATCTAGCTAGTGTTACGAATGGAGAGCGAGTGCCTAACCTTCGGGCATTCACGGGCGTGCCGGAAATAATAATGATATCACGTTGTGTCTATTGCATTACTTGCATTTCTCGCTTCAGATTATAATCATTTACAATGCTTCACTTTACTTAATATTACGAGAGATTGCTCCATTATTAAGGTATGTCGCAAAAAAATTAAAAGAAAAATTAATTTTGATGATGTAATTTGATGAGTAATATTAATTTCGGCAAGTTTAAAGAGCGTAAAATCATTTTTATGCAGAATACATTTTTCTCGGTACTTTATTTCATAATAATAATCAACTTAAAAGGCTTTTCATTTATCCTATTTTTTTCACGCGATTATTTGTAACGACGTGCGATAAAATTTAACGATCAAAATTATGTGAATTCCATTAATTCTGTACTTTTCACTTTCGTAAGCAAGATAGTTTTTACCGAGACTAAATTCGCTTTAAAACTGTAATTAGGGCGTATGCTGAAAGTAGGTTTTGGATTCAGTCTGTATATGTTTCGAGAGTTTCCCTTCGCATGTTTTGCAGAAATATAACACGCGTTATCACGCCTATATAGACGGAATAAAGTATATTAATTATTCCGATTATAGAAATAGCGCACTCCGATTTGAACAGATTCTCTCACTGCGTTCGTTGCATCACGTTAATACCGCGGCACCGTAACGTCATCGATTTCTATCTCATCAAATGATATCACATTTTCAGTTAGATTTGTGATTTCGAATGGATTTACTTAAAGTTTTGTAACATGTTTCTTGGGCTGCACGGTGTTTCGATTTAAATTCTAAAAATTTATGCGATAAAGAATTTATAGAAAAGTATATAGAGACATTATATATTACCTTAATGAAAATCTAATTTGTGCCATTCGCGACTGGATTTCCGCGCGAGACGAATTAACAATTTACGGCTTGAAAAGACGACGACCTGCTTCGGATAGATTTGGAAATACAGACGGCCTCAGTAATGCGATTCTCGCTGTGATTTTCCGGGAAGGTTCATTGGGTGCAGTGACCCTCGGCTAATTGCATCCGTGCCGTAATATGTATATCTCATCCATTCACTACGTGGGGAATTTTTAACGTCTTGGCGTTAGGGAGTGAAATCGATAAACGAACGCATCCAGGTATGTTCATAATTCGCACTTATGGTTCCCTGAGACGATACTGTGTAGACCTAGTATTTTTCAATTTTCTTCGAGCAACGGAATGCTTCTGAATAGTAAACAGCTGTTGGAATGCCCATAAGATTATTTTAGTTCAGTGTATTATTATATAAAATATCTAAAATTATAGAAATGTCTTATTTTTATTAGATGATCAGTGATAGTCTCAGAAAAAAAAATTCCCTGGTGTGTCTCTCTCCCTCTCATTCTCCCTCTCTCGATTTAATTATTTAGAAAATGAAGAATTTAATTAATAATTTTGACTGAATAAATATCTATTTATAGGTACAATAAGTATACAAACACAATTCTTTCCGCGATTTCTTCCTCAGGATATAATCATCAGATTAAGAGATCTATCATATGTCGATCAACATTTAACTTCTACCAATCAACTCCTAATATGAATGAAATTTTAATTTCACTCTCAGAAGCTTCCTAATTACTCCTACATTAAATCGCATATGACGTTTGCAGTAAGTCGTTTAAATATTTGAGGATCGCGATAAAGAAATTCACGTCATCCACCTGCCGGGGACGTCAACCTCGGCAGCAACATCTGCGAGCAACACACCGTTCGTGTAAAACTTATCGTCGGACCGAATTCGCGCAAACAACTGGCGTGACGCTCGCTGAAGCAGCACCAATAGAACAGCATCGCGCGCAAAATTAATCACCGCCGCTCCACGTCGCGATTGAAGGAGGAAACCGCGTAACGTTTCGTCGTCGTCGTGCCGCCATCGTCGTGATAGTAATCGCATTATAGTCAAGCGAGATAGCTCTCCTGTCTCTCGTTTGCGTTACGACATTCGAGGCAAGATCGATTTGCCCAAAGTGTCGCGAATGTCGAATCGCAATCGCCGAAGTGACGTGAGAATTCGAAAATTTGTCAAACTCCTGGACTCATTTCCGCAGATAGCACAGTGTGAAGGTCGAGAGAGAAGTGATCGTTGAAAATTGATTTATTCTACGAAAGCTCGATACGCGAGAGGAGTTGTTGGGCGATCGCTGGTGAATTGTAAACTGATTTTGAAAGTGTTGATACGCGCGCAACCGCTACAATCCGCAAGGTCGCAATTTAACAAGCGGCAACTTTGTTCTGCCACGTCACGGTTAAATTGCTCGAAAGTTTGGCTCAACGCGAAACTCTGGATGATTTACCACGGCGAACGAGTTGAACGACCGTTGAGAACTGAAAAATTTTAAGGACGCATCGATGAAGAATTGTATTATAGAGAAAAGTGACTAAGAAATATCTTGAAAAATCGCCGGAAGAAGAAATCGAAGCTCGATAAATTAATTTTAATTGATAATTGCCCAGTGATCGTGACTTGTTAAAAACAAATTATATCGCTTTCTCCTTTCGAACGCATTGATTTTGCGCGCTTCGTGGAAGTGACTTAAGCGCGTAGAGCGCGTAAAATTATCGGACGGTCTGCAGCTGCGCTCGATATCCTCTCTCTGTCGCTTAGAAAACAAGAGGCATCGAGATCTCGTAGTAAATGTTGCAGGGGAAGCAGAGAGGAATTGTGAAAGGAACGAAGAATCGAACCAACTTTCTCTCGCCGTGGTAACAAAGATACTTAAAACTTTGCGATCGGAAATGCGTTCTGATTCACAATACGATTTTAGCTTTCCGAAAAAGTGTCTTGAAGCCGTATTACGCGCAGCAGTAACCGAAGAGTAACAGAGCGGTTACGACGAGAGCAAAATAGAGTCATCGCCAAAAGATATTACGGCAAACGTTACATCATTAGGAGCAAAATTACAAGAATAAACGAAAAGAGAGCACTTGAGAGGAAAAAAATATTTTCAAGAAAATAAAGAATATAAATTTCCAAAACGAAAAATATCCTAATATCAAAATTGTGTAAGAGATCTAACAGAGCTATCTATAAGTATACACAACCCCTTTCACAGAATAATATACATTCTCAGAAACGTATGTAGAAAAAAGAAATTTCTTCTTGCGGAAAACCGCGGTTCTTTATCGTCAAGTCGCATCTGGGAATCGGAATTTCGGTGCACAATATCGAACGGTGAAGCCTGTTCGCGGCAGGGCGTTCCATTTCACGACAGAAGGGAAGGCTCTCTGGTCGATTAGAGGCCGGTGCAGGCGGTCTTCGTCGTCATCGTTCAACGGCCGTACGGCAAGAAATCCAGCAGGATTGCTCCGCACGTGGACACGATGTACGTGATGGAAACGGGTGGCCACAAGGTGGCACCCGTGCCCACGTCGACACGAGTCAAAAAAGTGGTGGATTACAACAAGACGATGAACCAGCACCATCATCATCGTCATCATGAGGGTGGCGGTGGTGGCGGCGGTGGCGAACGCGGAGGCGGGACGCACATCGCCGCGACGGTGAAAAACACGGTGCGCCGATTGTTGCGGCGTACCAAGAGCCATCGAGATACACCCTCGACGAACGCCTCGACGATGACTCCTACTGTCGCCAACGGCCATCCCATCGTTCCACCGTCTACGCGTATATCCAGGAACGACTATGACGTGCCTCCTCCTTCGTCAAACGCCAACTCCAGATTTAACGCCAACTTTAAACGCTACTCCAGGGCGCGCGTAAGGCTTCAGGTAAGAAAACACTATTGAATACTACCCAAGCCTTTCTCTGCCGCGAGCGTTTCTCCCCCACAACCACGAATTCGCGCTTCGACTTTTTCACGCCGAGTGACGATTCCTTGTCGTAATTGACTGCGTCGAGCGTCGAGTTATAGCGTTATATAGTGATACGGAGACGTACGCAGCTCCTATAGCTGCATAATAATTGTGTGTAGGAATTTATTAAAAATGTATTCAGTATAATCGTAATAGTTAACAAACTGAGGAATATATACCTATATTTTACCGTATCTTTTTGCGAGCTCGAAATGCGCGCAATCCGCTGAAAATACTGAAACCAGTTTGCCATCTGCGGATAATAACGACTTAAAAAAAGGAAACAAATCGGTGTGCCCGTACGAGTGAACAAGTTGAATAAATGTGGCGATTATATCGATCGTTTATTTGCGGCAGGTGCGCGAAATACGTCGCGCGGAGAATCAAATAACCAGGGTCTGTGTCAAGTTTAATCGACCATTGAGTCTGATAATTAGGAGTGGAGAATGATCGATAATATTGTACTTGCTTGAGAAAGTGACGGCTTAAGAGTTTTCTTCTTCTCTTTTCCGCAAAGACTATATCATAGATACTTAACTGTTGCGAGTACTTTTACTTGAAATGATAATATAAATAGACATTTTGTTTTAATCACTCGCGATCAATTACACTTTATAAAATTTTCTTATCAACAAATTTTTGCTGGTTATTTATATTATTTATGGTTACGTTGCAACAGATTAATTTTAATATTGTACGAACAATGAAACGTAATAAAAAAACTGAATTTATTTCGTGGAAACCGTTATTAAACGTATAATATACGATCACGTCAATCTCGAGAGTGAGGTCATAAACGTTCTCTCGGAAATTTTCTTGGTTCGAGGAAAAATAATTTCGTGGGTTCATGCTACATAGAGAATATACTATATAATCACGCGTTAACTTATGGATTTATTTCTCACAAACCGGCGCGCATTTTATGTAACATTTTAATTCGAGAGTTGAACAATATTATCTATTAATTCCATTAATTTGCGAAGATATGAAAAACAATTACGTGACGTATAATTAATTATATTTTGCAAGATATTAAATTTAAATAAAATATGGAGTTGGGTTTATAAAATACACATTCAATAGATATATGATTCTCAAAAATGTATAGATTAAACTAAAGTAGGTATAATGAGAAAAAAAGCTTACTATTCTTCTCTTTCTTCAAGGTATGATTATTTTCCTCTTAAAAGTTATTTTATACTTTTCTATATACGTTATCGTTCTTTTCTATATACGTTCTATATACGTTTCTATGTACGTTATTTTTTTGCGCTTTTTTTGAGTCACTTCAATCGATATTTATCCAAGTCTTAATTAAGTTATCTCGTATCTATCACATCTTTTCCTCGAATATGTATTTGTTAAGAGGAAAGTCAGGGTTTCTCCGAAGTTGTTTTGTAGAGTATTTCCTACAAGAGTAGAGTAATACAAAATCCGATTGTTAACCAGTTGATTTTATATAAACGTTTGCGGAATGAATCTAATTGATTTTTGAATATTTAATTCGTAATAGTAATAGTAATATTTAATTCGTAATAATATGCTATACATAATAGGCAATGATAACGATTAAAACCTACGATTAATTCGGACAGTTCTAAAAGATGACAATTATATAAACAATCTTTAATTTTAACTTGAGATATGTAACGATACTAATCAAATCGCACACAAACGAAAAACATTTTTTTTTATAAGCTGCATTGAAATAATTATCAATCATATCTCATATTTTATCAAAATATAAATCTTAATATTCACAGAAAGAAAATTTTGTTTTTTATCATTCTTGAACATTCTTCGTTTCGTCTGCAGAGCTGCATTCTTCGTTGATCGTCGCAGGGCGTTGAAGCTGTGGCGAATATACCGGAAACCTGACATTATTATTGTATCTTAGTCTCAAGGGACAATGTGCCGAGTACTTTCCAATATTACGAAAGCTACAAGTCTCTCCGCCTTTGCGACGGACGAACGAAGAAAAACCTGCGAGAAGTAATCGAGCCGAGCCAAGCCGCGTGCCTGTCAACCGTGTAACGTTGCGTTTTCGCTGCTGCCATGGTTTCCTTTCACCGTCGCTGCTTGTGTGTGTGTAGGTATGTGTGTGCACGCGACACCAATATAGCAATGTACGCACGTATCATGCACGCAAGCTGCAACGCACCTTCGCAGACTGCACAGGTGCTCGAGTCCATATTGGCGTGGTTGCGGAGGCGAAGAGACTTGCAGTTTGCACCTGACTGGCTCATTTGTCGAGACAAGCGTCAGTCAAGGTTTGAATTTTCTTCATGCGGTCCATAGTGGTTGCTATGAAATATCGCAAACTTTCATTTCTGGTTCTTTTAGTGTGTGGTTTGCTATAGAAACGTTTCCTTTACAATACCACATTTAGATCTGAATATTCTGGATCTTACTAAAACAAGAATTTCAATTACTCAATGACGTATTTAAATCTTGTCATTAGACTCATTAAGATAAGGTATCTTATAGAAATAATGTTAACTTTAATAATTTTTCTGCTTGTGAGAAAAAAAGAAGAGTTACAAATATTGACGGCAATTCTTTTTCTTAAAGAACTGAACATACAGAATATTGATACAAGTAGAGATAATTAAAATAGTTGTTTGAGAGTTCAATACTGTATAGTATAATATATATATATATTATAACACAAAACTAGAATTGAAGAGTTACAAATGTTTGATTATCTGCTCTAGAAATTCTTATATCTCGTTACGGTAAATATATCTACAATATTATAATTTCAAGAGCTTTCACAATTTCTGGCTGCTACAATTTTATTTTTGTTTTCTCGTGCACCTTCAAGTACCCAGGATGTCGTTTGGAAAGGTCAGGCTGAAATTTGCACTCATTCCATGTGTGTATCAAGAACTTTGAGATTCTATTATATACATTTCTCATTATCTGTACGTGGAAGCGTCAGACATCCCTTGTAAATTTGTAAGATATATCTCCTATGGTACTCATTAAAATTTTCTGTTTGCTAATTAAATAGCTACAGTGTCTGAAGTAGTTATTTGCATTATAAATTCCATTATATTATTGCATATGCATGTACTGCTAGCATAGCTAACGTACATTTAGAGAGGCTTTATACACAGTGTCACAGAACTATCATCAGTTTTACTACTTTTCAGATTTTTAGACTAATTTGGAGTTAATCTTTTCTTGACGAGATATTATTAAAAATATTTACCTCAATGTTATCTGAATAACGTCGAGTTTATAATTAGATGAAGCTTAGCTTCCCGAGTATATCTTTTTATATCATCTATTGTAATTCTGGCTGTTGCATATATGGGAGTATTAATGCTATTGGGCACTTAGCAATAAAATATTTTTCTACATTATACGAGAAAAAAAATATTTTCATAATTTATATCACATAATTATTAACATAATTCAAATACTTTATTTCCAGAAAAAAATGAAGAGAATCGATAAGTTATCTTTTTGAAGTCTCCTTGTGAATGCGAGCCATGATGGCATTAATCCTCCCGGTTGTACGTGCTGCAGTCTGGTGAAAATATAAGGAACTTATTACACTTTGTCTGTTTAGTGATCTGCAAGAATGTACATTACTGTCTTGCAGTAAGAAATTAATTTAATCTTTTTCTAAATTATACGACAACTGATGAAAGCTGAAAGGGTTACAAAGAAATTCCTTATTTATCGTGTTTAGATAATCAAATAATAACTGGCATTGCAATTTATATATATTTAGAATCTTTATATGTGATATAAAAAATTACATTTCCGATTAGTTTTAGTATTGTTTTTGCTTACGATGCATTCTTAGCTTAAAATTTAATTAATTTTATTGTCTGTCTTGTTCCTGAAAGAAAAGAATAAAACGCGCGCGCGCAATTTTTACTATTTTTACCATATTTTTTTCAGTATTTTATGCTCTGATTTTACTTCAGAAACAGGCTTTTCCTTCTATCTCTATTGTGTTGTTTACGCGTTTAGATATACCCCATACTTATCCATTGTAATCCTGATGCGCAGGTTAAACCGGCGCGGCGCCGAGACCCTATATATGCTCCAATTTCCTGTATGTGGCGCGTCGGGACCTCGCTGTTTTCAGAATGCAGAAAATATGAGGTGCTCGCTATTATCAGACAGCCAACTCGTGTTTTCCTTCCATTTCGAACAGTATCGAGGGAGACGTGACTCGCATGTTGCACATTTAACGCGTCGCGTCGTCTGCTTCTGAAAAGATGGAAATAAAGTTTCATCGCGGCAAAACGGACATCTATTGTTTTCCATTAGATTGAGAGACACCAATGTCGCCTTTATTAGGGCCCACGAAATATTTTTACGTTGACAGAGATAAAATAATCAGCGCTTATAAAGCATCAATTCGTACGAATCAGGTATCTATATATATATATTATTCGCGAAAAGAATTTGGCGTATTTACAAACAAGAGTGAACAAGCGCGCTTCAGACACTTTCGATATTTTTAACTGCTCGTTATTTTTGCTTTCGCACGTTATTTGCGATAATTTATCGACGTTTGAGTGCAAAAACAAGCTTCACTGAAATCGATCGGCTCTCGTGGAGAACTCGTTATGCAGGCGTTTGAGTCTATGAATAAGAAAACGACTTTTGCGACGAGTTAGGAAGATTCTCACCAAGTTGCAAGTCGTCTTTTTATTATGAAATCAGGGATACACTTTTCAGCTTCAGCCATTAAATTTGCATAGCGATTTATTCATAAAGCGATAAACAAAAAATGATTGTAGCTCATGCCGTACAGTATGTTCACTATTTTTAAGTATAATGCGGAAACAAATGTTTAAATCTAAAATATTAAAAACATGATCAGACACATCTTGATATAGGTATATCATCAGATTATCACACACATTATGTTAAGTTACATATATAATCTT